TCCATCCCCACACAGACTGTCCATCCCCACACAGCCTGTCCATCCCCACACAGACTGTCCATCCTAATTCTCAAAGCAGATATTCTGCAAGAAGGTTTTGGTTTTTCCTTCCATCCATCACGGATCACCCAGCTCACAAAAAGCCACTTTAAGGTTGGAACGAGGTGTCCCCACAGCAAAGGCACCGGGCAGGGTTAAGTTCTGTGACAGGAAGCTCATTTTCACAAACACAAGGAGGATGGATGGATGGTTGTGAGGGAAATGAGCTCCTGCTCCAGCTCCTCCCAGGACTGCCACAGCGAAGTGATCAGCCCCATGGTTTTTGGGTGACAGCCATCACGAGAGAAGGTCTCCAAACCATGTGGCAGACTGAGGGGATCTATGCCAAGGGGGTAGGGGACACATCACAGGATGCAGTGGGATTGCGTTTTGGGATTGCACAGAATCAGCTGGAGAGACTGGAGCAAGTATAAATCAAGTGCCAGCAACTGGAGTCAGAGCACAGGCTGTAGGAGCCTGTGTGTGCTGCCAACAAGCAGGGTCACCAGCAACTGGGATGGGGACCATGGTCCACAGGAGCCCATGTGTCTGGGTCACCAGCAACTGGAGCAGGTCAGAGTTTGCACGTCAGTGTGTGATCACTAGTGACCAGTGAGCCAGGCAGCTGGGTGAGAGGCTTGGGAGCCTCCACAGTGATCAGTCGTACCCACCTGGATGGCTGGGACAAGGGTGAAATACCCGATCAGGATGATCCCAAGCTCTGTGGCCATATTCTTCATAATCGACCAGCTCTCATTGCTCAAGCCTGGAGAAAGAACATGCCAAGACAGGTGAAAGGAAACTCTTCACAAGTGGACAGACACAAACACAACAAAAAGGAACTGAATTTCCCTTCTTTAAAATTAGGCGTCTCTAGGCAACAGGCACTTCCAGGCTCAAATTCATTTGATATATTTTGAATATTTAATTCAAAATAATAAATATATAAATAAATATAAATAAACAATAT